ACATGATAGCAATATGCAGTACTTGTCTTCTCTTTCAGTAATGGATACTATTGCTGCGGCAGAATGCCAAGACCAAAAGTAAGCGAAGGAAGAAAGGGTTTAGTAGGCTCACACTATCACAACATTGTTGGAGGAAGTCAGGGCAGGAACTCAAACAGGGCAGGAGCCTGAAGGAGGAGCTCATGCAGAGGCCATGGAGGAGTGCTGCTTACTGGAATATAATCCCACATAATGGAATTATGTGCGCAATAAAACATTTAGACTTTATAACCTCATGATATATTTTTATTGTAAGAACAACATGTTTTTTCTTTAATAAGCCCACCACCCCAAAGTGGTTGGCCAAGGTTTTCTAAAAAATTGGTGAAAGCATTTTTGAATGTACATTAAATCAACCACATGTTGTTCAATTATTGTGTAAAGTTTTATAAAGCATCTGCTGTTTTATGAGTTTATGGATATGTGCATATGCACATCTGCCACACTGTATGTCTGGAAGTCAGAAGACAACTTTCTGTAGTTGGTTCTCTCCTTTGACCATGCAGGTTCTGGGAATTGAACTCAGATCCTCAGGTGCCAAGTCTCTTCATATACTGAGCAATCTCATTGGTCCTCCTTTGATATCTTTTTGCTGCTGATATTGTTTGGTTGTTTTTTGTGATTTTGGCAAGAGGTGTTGGTTTTGAAATCTCATCTCATCGTGTACTCCTGGGATGGCCTTGATCCTAGTAAGTATATAGACCAGGGTGCCCTCAAACTAAAAGAGATCACTTGCCTCTTTCTCTCCAGCCACCCTAAGATAGCTTGTTCATTCTTTTTAATTGGATGTTCTTTGTGAATGTGAACATTTTGATATGTGTATTGACATCTACAGTTCAGTAGGGAAGTTGAAAGGATTATTGGAGGCATATTAGACTGCTCTCAGAAACATTCAGCCCCTCTTTGAAGAATCCCAGTGAGATGCACTCATACAACATCTTACATGCTCTTCTACTTAATCACTATCAGAGATAAACAAATCTATCCATTCATATAGCACCCATTCTTCCATGTTTATTATTGCTCTACAGAAATAGTAAGCAATTCCATTCCCTCTTTGACTGTGTGTTATTTTTTCCCATTTGGCCATTATTTAAAAAATTACTTTAGAGAGGGGTTAATTATAAGGAACCAGAAAAAATCAAATGAGAAACAAAATAAAAATTTACATTTACCACAGCAGTTTTCATAAAGCAGAAGTTACACTTCACTATTAGTGTTATTATGCCTTATAAATAATAGTGTGCTAAATATGCTCTGTCCTTATTAGTAAGGAGTTGATATTTAAAATTATATTGCTATTGATTACCTAATTATTTTGACAATAGATGCCATGTTAGAAAGTAAATTAGGAAACGGATAGACTTAAAGAAAAACATACAAAAATTATTACATTTTATTTTAACTTGGAGATTATCTGACATAAATGTCTTGACTGACAGCCAGCTTTTGCCAACAATCTGTGGTGATAATTATCGCAATAATATATGAAATGCTAAGACCTATTTATTTTTGAAATTCAAGTCTTTAAAACCTTCAAAGAACAAGCTATCATTTGTCCATGTGTCATATTTCTTGATGTTTTGTCTGATCTTTCTGTTACCAAGAGTACTAGAACTTGCTAGGAAGTGGTGCTGGAACTCTCTTCATAGCAGAAAATCGAGTCATGTTGTTGAATAAAATACTAGTAACCCACATTCACTGAGCTCAAAGTATATTTCAGAAAGTCTTTTAAAGTTTTTTTTTTCCACTTAAGTCATTTATTCTCACAATACTTTGAGGAGGGGGATGCTATTTTCATTCCCGTTTCACATCTGGGAAAGTTAGGAAGAGAGAATCAAATATCCACCCAAAGGCTTTAGACATTCTAATTGCTGAGTTAAAACTTACATGCTATGCCCTGATGCTTGTCCAGCATGTACCGGATTGAAGTGATAAACATTCCTCTCCAGTCACCCAGTATCTTGTGAGGTACCTGCTACTATATCAGAGCCACCACCCTCTATTTTCTTGTTACACCTTGTAGGACTCTGGAGTTCCTGTCACAGTAACCATATTTTCTGTGTACATCTAGAGCAGAGAGAAATGATGTCCTGTTCGGCTTCATTATTTTTATCTGTGCGCCTCCTCTTAGGAATATTCACCCCTTTCCAGTTCTCAGAATATTTAAATGATTCTTCTGAACACTAGATATTGGTGGAAAGCAAGTGGTACTCTTGTATAGTCTTGGTCTTACCCTTACCCTTAGAGTATGTAGATGATTTTGCAGTCTAGCATCACACAGAGATGTGCTTTGCCTTCAAGGTTTATTAGCTAACCCTAGTCTATGTGTAGTCATTTAAATAAGTCAATCAATACGCTATAATTCCTGGAAGGTTCTTTTACTTTTTGCCTACTTCTGCCTATCTCTGCATGACACATTCTGTTCCCTACAAAAGATAGTCATTTTAAATTCTACTTGATGAGGCTGTAAGAGAAAATGGTTCAATAGGGGTAAAAGGTCATAACACTTTGGGAAAAGCCAAGGTCTGGCATTAACTATTCAGATATGGGACTTTTCTACCACGCTTTTGCAGTCATTTTATGCCTATGATACTTTTCCAGGGAGATTGTACTATTGATCCAATAGTTACAAGGCTTGTCCGTGTTGCAGTCAACTTTCCCTGATCCACTACTAAATCCCCACTGTTACAGATTTCTTTACAGTCTGAAGATGCCAGATTTAGTCTGTGAAACTCAGAAGCGACTATATATGCTGGTTTTGAAAATATTTATTTTTATTAGTTTTCCCTATGTGTATGTCTGTGTAGGTTTGTGATCCTGAATACAGGTCTGTATTCTTCTGGAGCCACCCAGCATGGACACTGGGAACCAATCAGGGTACCCCTGCAGGAGCAGTATGTGCTTTAACGCCTGAGCCACCTCTCCAATCCTGAGAATATGCTCTTTTTTAGAGCAATGACCTATTGTGAGGGAAACAATCCAGTACTGCTGGGAAAGAACTTCCCATCTATCCAAAGTTTGTTTTCAGGGAGCAAAGCTCTCTTAGAAAATATGTGACCCCAAATGATTCTCTCATAGACACATGGGCACTCAAGACATAGCTTTTCACCCGCCCGCTCCTAAACTCTGGCTTGTTTGACAACTTGCTTCCAAAGAAAAATTATATTCCAGTGAGCACAGTCAGGATGTTATTAGTGTGACTCGGGCAACATAATATTCTCCAGGAGATAAAGGTTAGTACCGGCAGTCAGATGACAGTGTTTCTCTGATGCTGTGTAATCAAGACAGCACTTCACCCTTGCTGCCTTCCTCCAAATGACCAACAACTGCAGTGTAAACACATAAAAAAATGTCACATTGGGTCCAAATTAAGGGTTAGTCGACTACGAATATGACACCTGCTTCTTAAAACTGACAACATTGTGATAAACAAGGAAAATATGAGAAAGTGTCACAGGCCTCAGAAAGCTTAGGAATCAGATCCTTAGAATTTTGATATTACAGGAAAAGGGCAGTAAGGAAAAAGAAAACACACCACCAATAATACTAATAATATTTGGAGTTTAGTTAATTAGGTGCTAATAATGATTTTTAAAATAATTTCTTAGGATTTATTTACTTTGTCTGTAAATATATACGTGTCCGTTCATAGTTTATGTGTACCATGTGCCTGCAGCAGCCGATGGGGGCCAGGAGGTATCAGATTACCTAGAACTGGAGTCACAGGTGAGACTTGTATAAAATACAGCCATACCCACTCCAAAATATGGTTGAGAGGGAGGGTTTTTTTTTGTTGTTGTTGTTATAGATATAAGGGAGAGTACAGTCAGAGATGCCTGGAAGTCTAGATCAGGGAGAGAAGTTTTGTCTGTTAAGATGGGCATCTACGACAGTGAATGTTAAACATCTAAAGATCGTTTTCTCTTCTGCTAGGAATGTATAAGGGTATAAAATGGTTTCCCTATTGTATTAGTCAGAGTTCTTTAAAGGAGCAGAAGTTGTGTGTGTGTGATTTATTCGAGTGGATTATGAGCTGTGTTCTTGTTAGTCCAACAATGGCTGCCTCCCTGTAGAAAGACCAAGAATCCCATTGTTCAGTCCATGAAACTGGATGTCTCAGCAGTTCCAATCTGATGATGGTGTCCCAGACATTTCCTAGAGAGCTGCTGGTCTTCAGTCAATAGGGCAATACAAAGAAATGGGTTCTAACCCCAGTCAAGGGAAGCCTCCACAGCAGGGTAGCTGGATTTGCCACTGAAAGTGAGAGCAAACAAGAAAACAAAAACACTTCCTCCTTCCACATCCTTTTATATGGAATATCAACAGAAAGTGTGGCCCAGATTTAGGGTAGGTCTTCAAATCAAATGATACAAGTGATAAAATTCTTCCCCTGTGTGCCAGCTGCTTGACTTTTGGTTGACTGCAGGTATAGTCAAGTTGACAGCCACGGTTAGCCGGCACAGCTCCCCATATTTCTTTTGTAGGAGGTTTCGTGCCTATTCCAGTTCTTTTAAAGTTTTCTTATAGATACATACAGAAGCATAAAATTACTGATCATTTTTGGCTTTTGGATACTATAAAAGAAGAGGCTTGTTTTAAGAGATGCTAACCGATGACAACGATGCTTTTTTTTTTGGGTCTCATCACAAGGCAGGGGAGTGTGAATGTGCTTCTATGAAGTCTTTTGTATCATTTCCCCTGATTTCCCAGCTGCAGAAGAGTCTTTCCCAGCCGTCACCTTTGTTTGTATTCTCCCCGCTATGCTAACAACTGGGTAGTGGCACTTTGTTCAAAGGCTTGATGGCTTCACTAATTACTCTCACTACTCTCACTGCTTACAAACATAGGGATGGATATATACTTTTTGCAAACTTAAGGTATTTTGCCATAGCCAGAGAGTTTTTAATTTTTAACTTTTTAATTGTTATTATACTTTAATTATTTCCTTCCTTTTTCAGATCATTAGAAGAAACAAATTTCAGCCTGAAATATAAGAAGAGAAACATCGATAAGAAGAAAACATGTAAACCTTGCTATCATGAAATTACACAGAAATCAGTCAGTAAGTAAACAGTATAGGATAGCATTTTATAGACTAATACGAATAAGACAAGGAGCTATGCTGTCTATGAGGAGTGTTCATTTCATATTAATAAATAAAATGAGTGATGCTGTTTTTATCTGATGAAGGAGGAGGGTAAGGCCTGGACCTATTAAATAGTATGCAAGGTTTCCAGCATACACAGTAAACGGCAATGGATGCTTGACATCACCCTGACTCCCAGAGTTATTAGGTCTAGCACCAGCAGCATTATGGAACACATTACAAATGTAAATCCTAGTACATTCATCTTTTCCTCAACCCCCCCCCCCACCAAAAAAAAATCAGAAGCCAGGATGGTACCTGGTAACCCATGACTTACTACACTCTTTCAGTGATGATGCTCATGCGTAACAAAGCTCGAGAACCATGGGCTTAGGGAAGGCCTCGGAGAACAAATACAGCAAGACAGTAAAAGCACAGCGTCTGCCTTCACAGGGCTAACAGCCACAGAGCACAAAACCACACCTGAATTTAACATTTATCGAGTTCTCTTTCATTACTCACTTGTCATTTGAGGCAGAAACTTTTTCCAATTCATTCAAAACTTCGCTTTTAATGTGCAGCTCACAGAAGTCCTTGTACTTCTTCACAGGCAAAATAAATAAGATGCTGCCGTGGCCTATGCTATAGTGGGATGAAAAAGTACCTGCCAATTCCAAATTTCAGCTGCTTTGTTCAGAAAACACTGAAAAATATATTCCATTTCACAAAGGATATAATTTTCTTAGAGATAAAAGAGAGGAATTGAAGACTTTCCAAAACTGTAGAATACTCATTTTCAAGGGAATGTTGTAGAAAAATACACAAAATGGGAAATCAAAGAAAAGCAAGCCTTGGTTCCTCTTTGTCCTTTGAACAGAAAGGACCCTGGTTTTATTTTCAGCTGTGCTTGGAGGCTGTGGTAATCACTGCAGCTGCACCAACTGAGTAATAAGACGGGTAAATTTGAACAAGTGAATTTGGAAGCACATTAGGTCATTTCAAAGAGCTAACGGCGCTCACTGTGCTCTTCCTCCCTCCTTCCCTGGAATTTGCTGTCTGAAGGCACCTTTAGGTCTTTAAGCCTTAGAAGCTTGAAAGAGCTGCCTGAAGTGACTCAACCTGCATTTCTTCTTGACCCCGACAAATATTTTAAGGAAGAACCAGAGGAAGATGAACCCCCAATCCCGGAGCTCCCTTTGCTCTCTGAAAGTAAGTCTTTAGGTGGCCTACAATCACCATTCTTTCTTCATATGACTCAGTGAAAGGCAAAGGAAATACCGTAGATTAGCATGCAAACAGCATATTTGCCTTGTAGATTGCTATGAAACAAAGTGTGGTGTGGTTGTCAAGATTTACAGCTCTGTGCTCTCAGCAAGAAGAGCCAAATGGCTGCAACACATGACACAGATATTTCCATTGTGTGGCTGTTCTGCAGGAAGCCTCCTGCCTTGGATACCATGAATCTGTCATAGCTGAGCACCTCTCCTCCCTGAATAACCTTCATTTTCAAAACTGATACCAGAGATAGAAACATCATGAGATTTTAAAGAGAAGAGTCTCTGGCAATCTGGCTCTGTTCTTCCCTTGTCTCTATAAATAGAGGCCACTTAAAGTGCATTGTTTCAGAGGCTCCAGCTGCAGTGCCTCGCTAATAAGAGAGGACAAGGAAGCTTAACTTGAAAATATGCAAGTGGACGATCTCTGAGCATTTCGACACAGCATGTGCACAAGAATGCTCTATTTTTTCAGACTCTTCTAGGCTTTGCAGTTTGTGAGCATTTGAGGAATATTAGTACAAACATCTTTCCCACAAAAGGAGCCTCATGGGAATTCAGGCAACACAACCTGAAACTGGGTGAGGTACGGAGAAGGCATACCGGCATGGTAACGGATCTCATTTCCAATACTGATGGAAATGGAATGTTCTCAGTGTGCGATACTGAAAGGACTGGAGTAACATGACCGGGATCTGAGACCTACTGTCTCAGCTTTCCAGTGCCTGACACAGGGCTCAAAATCATTCTTCAACAATACCTTTGCAGGAGGGAGCTGTGTTCTTATAGCCACACTTGGAGACAATTTTTGGTTCTCATCAAGAACAACTGTCATTTGTTATCATTATACTTTCTAATCTCATACTATCACCTTGATAGATCTTCCTTAAATGTCCTCTGTTCTAAATTTGTACACATTTGCTTATTTTCTCGAGGTTTCTTTCTGCTCATTTCTCTTTGAACTATGTAACATTAAACTTTAAGCCTTTAGGTATATGGAATGGGGCTTCCAATCTGTAATGTCAGAATGATCTAACATTAAGAATGAATGCGTATGCTGGAAGAATTGGTCCAAGGACAAAATATTTGCTACAGACTAGATATTGCATCTCCATGTGATTGGATGTGTGTGCATGGTTTCATCCTGTAATCCTAGCACTCAACAATTAGGAAAGTCAGAGAGAGGGCATCATAGGGGAACCTGGCTAGCTAGGTTAACCTGTAGGGTGAGCTGTGGGTTATGCTGGGACCGTGTGGAAACATGATGACCAAAGGGACTCAGGGAGAAAAAGGTTTATTTAGCTTCTGTTTCTGAGTTACAGTCTATTGAGGGAAGCCAAGGTAGGAATTAAAACAGGCCAGGAACCTGGAGGCAGGAGCTAATGCAGGGGTCCCAAAAAAGTGCTCTTGATTGGCTTGATCCTCATGGCTATCTCAAAATCCTTTCTCATAGACCATAAGACCAGAGCTGTGTCCTCAAAGAATGAATTAAGTAATTCTCACTTACCTATTACTAATGTTAAAAAGTACCCTACAGGGTTGCCTACTGCCTTCTTATGGAGGGATTTTTTCAATTGAGATTTCCACCACTCAGATGACAATAGGTTTTGCGAAGTTTATATAAAACTATCCAGCACAAGAAATTAAATATGTGTATGCAAAAAGACCCAGACCACCTACAAAACAACCAAAAGTGCTAATGACTTCTGGGGAATGATGTCAAAGGGTGGCTGGCCACCATCATGGATCGCTGCACATATATGCACAAGGTCACAGTCATACACACAAATTCACACACATCTCAACCAAAAGAGTTGGTCAGAACAGATCAAAGTTAAACAGGCTCCACAGGTAACAATAGTTAAGCAGGCTAGAAAAGAAGGGGTGTGTGTATTTCTGGTAGTCGTAGACCATGCCTTTAGATGGTGAGTAGCACCGTCAAAGGAAAGGACGTGGGGGTCTAAGTGGCTGAGTTCCAAAAAGAATGTGCATGAAAGGAGACAGAGACAGAGACCCACATTGGAGCACTAGACAGAAATCTCAAGGTCTAAATCAGGAGCAGAAGGAGAGAGAGCACGAGCAAAGAACTCAGGACCGAGAGGGGTGCACCCACACGCTGAGATAATGGGGATGTTCTATCGGGAACTCACCAAGACCAGCTGGCCTGGGTCTGAAAAAGCCTGGGATAAAACCGGTCTTGCTGAACATAGCAGACAATGAGGACTACCGAGAACTCAAGAATAATGGCAATGGGTTTTTGATCCTACTGCACGTATTGGCTTTGTGGGAGCCTAGGCAGTTTGGATGCTCACCTTAGTAACCTGAATGGAGGTGGGTGGTCCTTGGACTTCCCACAGGGCAGGGAACCCTGATGGCTCTTTGGGCTGACGAGGGAGGGGGACTTGATTGGGGAAGGGGGAGGGAAAGGGGAGTCGGCGGTGGGGAAGAGACAGAAATCTTTAATAAATAAATAAATAAATAAATAAATAAATGAAAGTCAAGAAAAAAATGATTCTTGGTTATTATTTTATATCTTTTTTTGTAAGTCTTGTAAGTTTTGTTATTCAAGAGAAATTTTAAAAATCTCTATAGATATTGAAGTGAGGGCTATTTAGTTCTGTGGAGAGAATTGTGGTCAGCATGTGCCAATAAAACTCGGAAATGTGATAGATAGTGCTGAGATGCAGTTTTCAGTGCACTTAGAGCACTTTTGATTTAGAACGCCTGAGTTAGACTTCTGTCTTTTTAGATAGAGGAATATTGTCCTATAAATCTTGCATGATCATATATTTCTTTGGTTTTCCACTCTACTGAATGGATTCCCACCCATATCAGTGTTCAGAGAAAGTGGAAGGGAATACTGGCCAAAGATACTGGGTTTTCTGTATTCCAATATATTGTACTGTCCTACAGAGCTATCAGAACATTTGGGACAAAGTATATACCTCCATCTCAAGACCGGTTCTTGCTTTGTAACCCAAGTTCATTTTGAACTAATTGTAACCCAGACTGTCTTGAAAGCCCTAATTTTTACCTTTTTGAGTGCTGGGATTATTTCAGGTTTGATCATACCTATCAGAAATCTATCTCCTAAAAATGTCCACATATGACCTAAAGAAAACCTTTGCCAAGTCAGGTCATCTAGGAAATGTTTCCTGCTGTTTGCCCCTTTAGTTAATGTGTTCATCTTTATTTCCTTCCCATGCCGTCTGATAACATAAGAGCTGATATGTCTGATTTATTTTTTAGCTTTATGTGAGAATAACTGTAATCTGCCTAACAAATCCTCCACAGAAACAAAATTATTGTTGAAAACGAAACAGGAAACTTACTTGATCACATCTATATTGTAGAAAACCTCTTAGGAACAGTGTGGAGGGTGTGTATCATGGATCTGGGTTGAGGCAGATTAGTATAATGTTGAGATGTGTGCAGTGCAGCTGTTTTCCACCTCTCATCCCCCATCACTTACCAAGCAGCATAATATTATTTTTAAGATGAAAACATTAGAAAATAACTTCCTTCAAAGTGTTTAAGTGTTCAGTGAGAAGGATCACCTGCTCTGATCAGAGATATATATCTATCAAATTTCAAGTTGCATAACTATGCCAAAGCAAAAGATCCTCACCGACAGAGGAAATGCAGATGAAGAGGGGTCAAAGTTGGGAAATGTCAGTTCCAGATTTGGTGACAGGGATGTGTCTGTGGACCATCTAGAAAGGAAACTGGCCTTGGTAGGAAAGAAAGGGAGCATGGGGACTGAGTAGCAACACAGCTGAGCCATATTTTTTTTAATTAATTTATTTATTTATTAAAGATTTCTGTCTCTTCCCCACCGCCGCCTCCCCTTTCCCTCCCCCTCCACCAATTACGTCCCCCTCCCTCATCAGCCCAAAAAGCAATCAGGGTTCTCTGCCCTGTGGGAAGTCCAAGGACCACCCACCTCCATCCAGGTCTAGTAAGGTGAGCATCCACGAAACTGCCTAGGCTCCCACGAAACCAATAGGTCCAGTAGAATCAAAAACCCGTTGCCATTGTTCTTGAGGTCTCAGTAGTCCTCTTGACCGCTATGTTCAGCAAGACTGGTTTTGACCCAGGCTTTTTCAGACCCAGGCCAGCTGGCCTTGGTGAGTTCCTGATAGAACATCCCCATTGTCTCAGTGTGTGGGTGCACCCCTCGCGGTCCTGAGTTCCTTGCTTGTGCTCTCTCTCCTTCTGCTCCTGATTTGGACCTTGAGATTTCAGTCCGGTGCTCCAATGTGGGTCTCTGTCTCTGTCTCCTTTCATCGCCTGATGAAG